TTTAGCTCACAATTACTGGAGGTTTCTGTCCATACTCATCTGGGTCCAACGCAGAGCAGCACATAGCAGAAAGCAACCTTTCATGGCAGAGGCAAAGAGCAAGAGCGCAAGGGAGGCTAGCAGCAGCTCAAGCAGCTGAGTTCTCTTCCCTCCTTACATTGTAATGCAAATTACCTGCCCCAGGGCAGGGGCAGCATCCACACCCACAGTAATCAATCACAAACTCCAGAAGCCACCCCAAGACTGCATGAGGCTTTGGGGAGACACCTAGACACAAACCATAACAGAAGCGGAAACTTCAGGAAACCCTAAGAGTTGCCTACCTTGAACATGTTAAAAAAGAATACTATATTTTTGAACATTAGAGTAAACCTATGTGTGCTCATAGCAACATTTTTTCCAGGGCTGAGGAGATGGCTCAGTGGAATAAACGCTTCCCTGGCAAGCACAAAGGGCCTGAGTTCAATCCCTGGTTCCAGAAAAAAAAAAAAAAAAAAAAACACATAACATTTTTCCCCTCTATTGTTCATAAAATCATAGCAAGTTGTTTATTGTAACTACTCTGAATTTTCACTTTTTATTCCAAATTATTCATTTGGATTACATTTCATTATAAGTTAAGGCTCAGGATTCAGTTTCGCTGAATTTTTCTACCCTGGTGTCTCAGCTACTCTTCTCTCATTGTTGGGACAAATACCCAACACCCAAAATGAAGGGAGGAACGGTTTATTTAGCTCAGTTATTGGAGGTTTCAGTCCACACTCAGCTGGCTCCAAGGCAGAGCGGCACATGGCAGAGAGCAGCCTTCAAGGCAGCGGCAGAGCGCAAGAACACAGTGGAGGAGCAGCAGCAACAGTGGCTGCGGAGAGCAAGTCTGTCTCTCTGTCTCCCTTACGTGTCACTGAGGCTATCCACCCCAGGCTGGGTGTAGCACTCACACATCCATAATCCCAGATGATCATGAGCTAATCACAAACTCTAGAAGTCCGCCCCATGACTGCATGAGGCTTTGGGGGACACCTAGACATATACCATAACACCTGGTATTCTCATAAACAAGCTATCTGGATTGGCAAAGCCTATCAGGCAACTCATTGTTTTCTTCTTAAAATCAAAGGTGGGGGCCTGGCCCTAGCTCAGGCCTTTAAGTGGCTGTTTCCACAAAGCTGTCAGCCTCAGGTTGCTGGAGTTCGAACCTCAC